GACCTCCAGGGTTTGCACAGGAAAGCCCCCCACCCAGTGCACACGAGGCCCTGGTCCCATCCCCAGAACTGCAAAGAAGAAAAATTACTCCATATTTTAATTTATTCCACTTTGGTATATCTTTTTTTTTTAACCCCTTTGTTAGGGTAAAAGCATTTGTGTACTTTGAAGTTAGAAAATGTAACTAGAGCGTGGATGTGTGTGTTGTATGGAGAGATAGGGAGGGTGTTTGATGGGCACAAGGGCGCAGATGGAGAGGCGTGATTGATGCCAACCAGAACTAGCTGCCGGAAAGGAGTGTTGAATGTTTTAATATAAAGAAATGATATATAGCTATGCATGGTGATAGATAACTGTGACCTTAGCACTTGGAGCAGAGTAAGGGGGCTGGCAGGTTCAAAGTCAGCCTGGACCACGTAAAGAATTAAGACCAGCCTCGTCGGTATAGTGAGCCTTAAAATAAAATAAAATGTATGCCCGAGGGTTTTGTAAATAATTTGCTAATTATGCTGATAGGATCACTAGACATTAGAAATGCCTTATTATTGTGCCCATGAATCTGTCTGTACATTTGTGTGTCAGGGTAAAACAGGTTAATAAGGAGGGTCTGAGGAGATGGCTCAGCAGGGAAGTCACTTGCTGGTGCCGGTTAGTTTTATGTCAGCCTGACACTAGCTAGACTCATTTTAGAATAAGGAACCTCAAATTGAGAAAATGACCCCCGCCAAATCTGTGGCCTGTGGTCAAGCCTCTGATGGTGTTTTGTTTGCTTTTAGTTGGTGACTGATGAGGGAGGGCCCAGCTCACTGGATGGTTCCACCCCCTGGGCAGGTGGTCCTGGGTTGCAAAAGAAAACAGGCTGAGCAAGCCATCCGGAGGAAGTCAGTAAGCAGCTCCCCTCCATGGCCTCTGCATCAGCTCCTGCCTCCAGGTTCCTGCCCTTAATTCTCTGGATGCTGGACCACAAACAGTAGGGTGAAACAAACCCTTTCCTCCCCAAGTTGCTTTTGGTCATGGTGTTCTATCTCAGCAACAGAAACCTTGAGACCTTGCTCTTGCCGAGGACCTGCGCTCAGTTTCCAGGACCCGTATCAGGTGCTTATAAGTACCTGCAACTCCATTCCAGGAGACACAGCAGCCTCTTGAGGCGTCCACAGGCTCCCACACACATGTGATGCACACACAAGTGCCCAGGCACACACACATACACACATGCACATAATAAATCTGTAAGGTACTTTTTCAGTTAGAAAATAATTATTATCAGGAACCTCCCCAGTTGTCCTTCACACATCCAGTGTGGTCCCATATCTTCCCTGGGTGTAGTGACAGTTTCTTACCTGTATCACTTAGTCAGCCTTCTGCCTCTGTGATAAAATCCCCCACCCCACCCCCGAGATAGTCAGTGTAAAGGAGGAAAGGGTTTCTTTCTTTCTTTTTGGTTTTTCGAGACAGGTTTCTCTGTGGCTTTGGAGGCTGTCCAGGAACTCACTTTTGTAGACCAGGCTGGTCTCGAACTCATAGAGATCCACCGCCTCTGCCTCCCGAGTGCTGGGATTAAAGGCCTGCCCCACCAACGCCCGGCTGTATTTGTTGTTTTATGTGAATCTAGACTAGAAACTAGGCACATCTGGGCTGGTAGCTGTGAGGCCCTCCAGATGCCTCTGGAATTGGGTTGTAGGAGACTCCTGGGGGTCCTCTGCGGAAACATCATGGCTGCCTCTATGCTCATACCTTCCCCAGCCAGGCTCCTGGTCTCTGCAGACCGGCTGGGCT